CTCCCCCCCCCCCCCCCTCTTGAAATAGGTTCGAGAGAATACGGGTTTCGGGGGCCGGTAGTAAAACCGAGGGGATCAGCGTTGCGGTTAAAAGGCGGCTCGAGGGTCACAAAAGGATCCGTAATGATTGTCTGGTCGGAGAATAGAAGGAGAAAAAAGAGGGTTGCTCATCTAGGGCCGGAGAATATTTTTAGAACGGAGCAGGTAACAACGAAACCGAGTAGCGCCGACACCCCGTTGCACCTGTCAAACGTTGCAGTGGCAGTGCAGGTTGCTCCACCGACCACGGAATCCGCATTGCTCCCTTCTAGACACATTCCGGACAAAGAAAGCGACCCGAGGACCTTCCTCTCCTCCTATTTGTATTCGACGCGCCCCTTCCCTGTCGCGGGAGTTTGTAAAAAATCGATTTTCTATTAGGAACCTTTCGTGTCATCGTGCATTTCTTCTCGTCACCAGCACTAATGCATATTTTCGGTGACTCCATTTCTGAGAATGCATGAAAAATTGTATTATCTTCAGAATCTTTCTCCCTCTTTCTTCTCGTTTTCCCGCTCTCGCTCTTTCGAGTTCAATTTCATCGAAACTAAACTGTAGATTTTTATGGAAAATAAACATTGTTTACGCTAATCACAAGATACAAAACCTGCACAGATATATCCGCTTCGTTTCTTAATCCTTTTGATAAGTTCAAAGTGATTCAACGGTATTTTTAAATTCCTGAAACACTTTTACTGTGTTTTGCATTTGATCGTTGTCGTAAACGCATAAAATCCGCAGTCTATTTATAATTATTGTCATAAGTGCTGCAAACAGATCGCGGATGCTCATGGTATTTGCAATATTTTTTCGTTGATGATAATGTTGTAACGTAGAGTACCCTGTAAGCGCATGAATATCAGCAGTCCGATAATGAAAATCTGTTCGTCAATTTCTGTAATCAGTAGACTGTGGATCCAGAGCTTGGTAAAATAGTATTTTAAATGGCAAATAGTAAATAGATATTTTATTTTAGATCGTGCATAGAAAATAAAATATTTTATTCGTTGTCACAAATTTTTAAGATAATATTTCAAATAGTATTTGATTTGAAAAACACTGAAAATATTTGTGCCATAATACGGAATATTTGATTTATTTAATTTATTATCAACAAATAAAATTATTTTATTTTACCGAATCATAGTGCAAAATTTATTTTGGTAATCTAAAACGAACGAAGTACTTTTTCTCTGCGTTGTAAACATACATAAAAGATATACTTTGTTACGTGCGAATAGCTATATTCAAAAAGACAATAAATTCAATTTATTTTTATGTTTTGTGTTATTAAAATGAAAACTATTTTATTTTACGTTTTAGATTATCAAGATGAAATGTTTATTTTCATGATATTTATATAACTTTAGATTAGCAAAATAAACTATTTCATTTCACGTTTTACATTTTCTAAATCAAATATTTATTTCATGCTTTAGCTGCGGATTATCAAAATAAAATATTTTATCTACTGAAAATTTTATTATACTTCAAGTACTATTTTAATTGAATTGCGAAGAATCTATTATTTCAAATAGTGTTTTAAATATTCTCTAAATAAATATTACCCAGCTCTGTGTAGATCCTCATGCGAAGTAAGAATTGTTCATATCGATTGCAATAAACAGAGCCACGTAGAAACTTCTTTCTACCGTGAATAATTCGAATAATCTGAGACTTATTCAGTAACACCCTTCCACACTTCTAATCAGTGTACTGTTTTATGTGGCACCTATTCGTTTTCGCCATAAATCCGCAAAATCTGCAGTCTAGTAATCAGCTTTGTGTAAGACGATTTATAGTTGACATTGGCGTGGTATAAGAATGAAAAAGAAAAAGAGTTTCGTACCTCGTAGAATATTACATTTTCAAGCATTGTTTCTAAATTAGACAATAAAATACATAATGGCCAAACTACGTACAACGTGCATTTTTTATGAAATGATACTTTTTGTGCTTCATTTGGACTAATCTGTAATTGGAAATTTTCAATTTGGGTTCATTATTTATTTTTAAGAATAACTTGTCGCCGTTGTACAATATGCTCAGCTATCTTTAACAGTAGAACTACAAAATCGTAAGATAACCGGATTTCAGGATTTTTATTCCACAAATTATTGAAAGCATAAAATTGCTTTTGTGGAAAGTTAATAAATACTTATTCGTGTCGTGACATGAATATTTTCTTTTTATGAAAAATTTTCAGCAGTCCTTTTATATAGTGCATTTGTGGTTTTTTATGAATTTGATCTGCCATGATCTTTCTATAATTTATGATATGAATACAGTATAAGCAGTATGAGTAATCTGAATAATCTGAATAGCATTCCTATGATACAAATATGATACAAAGTCATCTAAAACTAGTATAAGAAGTAAATATTTTTTCTTTCATACCTTTTTATTTTAGTCGGGACCGAAAGAATTTTAAATTAAAGTGATTGCAAGTGGGTTTTGTTAATTACAGTTCTATACTTGTGCAATGAGTCATAACTAGATCCTTTTAGAATCAAAACATATTTTTAACCCTTTGCACTCGAAGCCATTTTAACCGTAAATCTAAAATAATTTTTCTGATTTATGGTATTTCCATTTTATGCATATGAAATTGAGTCTTGCGATGACTCGTGATGACAGTTATACTTTTAACGATTTTTTAAATCGTTAATATAATAATATAATTATATAATATAATAATATATATTATTATATTATTTAATATTATAATATATTAATAAAATAATATAATAATAATAAAATAATATTATAATATTATTATAATATTATATATAATAATATAATATAATTATAGTCAATATAATAATATATATTAATATAAAAATTATCGTTAATATAAAAATTATCTTGGAACGTGAACTAGCAATTTTATTGGTGCCTCAGAGTCACCACTCGAGTGCAAAGGATTAAATATTAGAAAAATCGTGGCGAACAAACAAGTATATCTCAGTTTACCGTAGTTCTAGTGTTAATTTGTTCAAGAGCGTAGAATTATTAGATTATTGGTTGTCCTAATTATAGAAATCTAGTATCAGTACGAATCTCTTCTTGCTATATAATCGTCAACGAAATTATGTTATTTTTGTTACTAGATTATAATTTCATATATTTTCGTCGTTTCCGGCGGAAGTTATCTGTGATTCGTTCTAATCGTCCGTCGAAGAACGAGACGAGAAAGTACATAGATGTAAACACAGAAAGTTCGTGCGAGCGGTGCTGCGGCGACAGTTGAATGTCCGCTGTTCAGGGACGAATTCCAGTGGTTCTTTACGGATGGCCTTCCCAAGTAAGCTAAGGCGGAATTTAACGCTCAAATTTTGGTTTAGATATATTTATATTGTCACAACGAATAAATTTCACACCATATTGAGAATAAGTAATCGCTTATTCAGTAAAGCAGCATCTTATCTCTTTATATTTTGAGATACCTAAAATTGTGTGACGACCCTGACCTGACACAAAATATAAACAGCTGCACGCGAGCGACGCGTGATTGGGTCAGGGTCGAATTACAATTTTCAGGCCTTTCTACATGAGACTACTCTGCATGCAAGGGCCCCCGACGAGGGTCCTCTAAAATTCGTCCCTGAGCATCGTCGTCTAACAGCCATACAGCTGTAATCGTAGCATGGATCACGTGAACGTTTTGTTTACACTATACACTACGTCCTCGTTGAAAGTAGTGCCTTATCTACGCTCTCATGTCGTTCAGCGGACTGTTATGGTGAGTGTTATCACTGGAACAATCGAGTGTAATCGAAGTTTCAAAATATACTTTCCGAGATTTTTCCAAACTGTGGAAAACCGATATGGAAAAAAAGATATGGCCACAGTCGCGGCGTTCTACATGGAAATTCAATGTTCCAATATCAAATGAATTTCAACATTTGTTTTATATATACAAAAATATCATCTTAAGGCACTAATACATTTTCATCATTGTCGATGTTTTCAACTATCTATATTGTACTCTTCCAACCTGCTTCTCCCTGCTCTCCACTTCTTTTTTTTTCCATGGACGTTGCACACAAAATCATCAATTACTAATACTAATAGAATGTACATCACGAGACAGTAAAAATATTGTCGGAAATTATTCAGTAACGAAACACGAACAAATAGTCGTTTTATTAGAATTTTTATGTCGACGCGTTCATAAATAACAAAATTTATGAGCAGCAAGAAACAAAAATAAAACAGTATCCGTTAACGGGTAACAATTACTCTATGTTCATTTCTATATGAAGTATTCTTACTTAAAGGGAAAACATTCTTGCAGAATTATAAAATAAGAAATAAAAAGTTTCATCTTTGTACAAAAGAGCTTCGAATTGTATATGTTGGCATTGTTACCTTTATACAAGAATATAGCTAATACCATCGTTATTGTCAATATCAATTTCCTTTTCGATAAAATTGTAATGTTATTCGAAATATCATTTTTACGATATCTATCCCCGTAATTACTCGCTGTAACATTTTGTTATTTAACCTCTGTAGTAATATTTCTACCACACCGTGATGTTTCTTATTGCATAATACTCTCCGATCAATCAGTCGTACAACGAGACATTGAAAATTTGAACAATGTAAATCCATATGTGGGTTCGGCAGTACGTTTGTCATAATTGAACGTCGTTCGTAAATAATTATGGTTTATATAATCGAGTTTACCGAATTTGATCACATCATTTGATACCAACGTCAAGCAACAGAAATCTGTTTTTGGCAATACAGTTTTATCTTTTACTAGGAACAAGATAAAGTAAATAATTTAATAAAAACAAACAATTGCCTCGTTTGTTTGGTACCAAAAAGAGAATAAATAAATTTGTGAACAGCAAGAAGTAAATCAAGTTTGAAAATAATAAAATTTCACAAAACTATTGAAACTATAAAATAGACTAAATTAAACGATTTAAACGAAAAATTACATATGTCAATAGACCAATAGCAAATTCAAAAGGATTATCTCATTATTGTATACTAATACAATCACAAATTTCGGCTCTTAAATAAATGACTCAAGAAACGCAGGCTTTGAAACCAGATAGGTGGGTGAATTATTCAGGAAGCAACTAGATAAATCCTTCTTTAATAAACAAGCATTTCGTTCAAATGTACAAGCACAGTATAAAAGTACAAAAACTACAACAATTTTTTTTTTGTGGTTCAGCTTGTTGTTTGTATATACCCTATACTATTCAATAAAATTTTCCTATTCTCGATCAACGTAATCTCTAATTGCACCATCAAAGATAGAACCGTGGATTTACACTATTCGAATAATTCCCTCTGTCTACAAGTAAACACTTCCGAGTGATCAGGTTCAGACCTGGTTCACACTTGAAATGACATTATTCGAAATATTATTTCAAATGTGACACATTATTTTATTCCACAATTATTTCCATGTCTGTAATCACTTTTCAAATCGCATTATTTGAAATATTATCTTAAATAATATGTTATTTCGTTTGATCATTATTTACAACAATTATTGTGAAATTCTTCTTGGAAATTGAGTTCGATTTTAAATTTCAGTGTGTCTGGTTTACACTAACATTCTCATTGACAGTTCCGCAAGATAAAAGTACCGATCTGACTACGTTAAATGCTTATCCAATAATGGGGAACATTTTTCTGAAGAATAATATTCGTCTTCCATTTTTCTGCACTAATGGGCCCACACAAAAATCTCTTAACACGTTAAATGTCAAAAATTCGAATCTCAAAAATTCCCACAATAATTTAATTAATGAAACTGAAACTGCAGAGTTAAAATTGACCATAATGGATGGTATCTTAACTCTTCTGCATTCTCAACATCCTAGTAAAAGTACGAGTTTTGCAATTTGGTCAAAAATCAGTGTCACCCAAACATGATAAACGTAACACACAACGTGTTAAGGATGAACTTTTTGGGGAAAACGTTTTACTCAAAGCAAATTGCTGCAAAGATTTCTTCAAATGAAAACTATAATATTATAGTATATTATTTTTATTTCCCTTCTCATATTCGAGCATTATTTTCTTTGTAATATTTGAGGATTATTTTCTTCATCATATTTGAAGATAATTTTCTCTAATAACCCTCATATTTGAGGGTTATTTCCTTTGCCATATTTTAAATAACAAAGTAATTAAATAATTAATGATTTGAAATTGCTATTATTTCAAATAAATCAATATTTTCATTTTTAGATAAGAGCATAGTAAATAATGATTCGAAATGGATTATTTCAAATAGTTACTTCTCATTTTCATTTCAAATGTTTTCCAGGTCTGAGATCGGACTCTCTATCACGCAGCTTTACACCAGTGCTGTCCACGCTGCCCCCCCTCCCCAATGCGCTGGCTTTCCCATCCAAGCGTCCTTTTGCCGAAGAAGGCAAAGCTATTTACATATTCAGAGGTGATGAGCAGTCCTCTGGGGGTATTGCGGGGTAACTAGTGATGGCTCCGCTTGACCGTACTATCCACGCTTCTACCTGACTGCTTGCTGGAGCCTATTGACATAGTCACAAGATCTATGCACCAATATACACTACCGACTTCTTTCGTAGTGACGGCTGTGGATCAACGTATATGCTTACGCTTTGCCGACTTCTATTTTACCTGATAAAATACCCATTTCATTACGCACCTTGTCCGCTTTCTTTGTCGTACGATCTCGTCTCTAGATGTGACCGTATAGGCCTAGACTCAGGTAAGGCAACATTGAAAATGCATGTGAGACGAGGCGGAGCGTTGCAACCAATCGTGCCCGAATTCCTTAAAGGCGTCTTCTCATCAGCTCTGAATACAGTAGTGCACACTTACGTGCACACTTTCTTTGCTCACTAAATCGTCCACTTCTATCCCCACCAATTCTAGGAAGTGAGGCTTTAGAGTGGAGTTCGAGCGTACCGAGTGAAACATCGGACATCGGTGACCTAGTCGCACGTATCCTCACTCCTTCATTTAGGTGAATTCGCAGAATACACCACCGCGTCCGCTTAAAACCCGTTTCACACGAGGATGATTGTATTGCGATGCGCGTATGATGAATACCGCGACCTGTACCTGTAATTAAATGGGAGCATTCAGAGGGCAATATAGTATATCACGATACTTTTTCTTGTGCTGAACGCTGTACCACGTACACGTATCGCGATGCAGGTATCTTCGTGTGAAACGGCTCTTGGTGTGCACTACTGTAGCACGACAGCAAGTACAGTAATGGAACCTGCTGCTGCACGCTTTTCTTACTCCCTAAGTGGGCGCGCACATCCCCACCATTTTACTGCGCATTCAATCCGCAGTGGATCCTGTCTCAGCGGTGAATCATCAGTCAATCGGAGCAAAGAAAATTTCTAAATCGACCCTCGTTAACGGATCAAGCTGAGACCTGAAGGTGTGCAGGAGTAGGACCCATTACTGAACCTTCGCCGTCTTCGTGTCGTAGCGCGGTGGTGGGGACCATCGGTTGTCCCCCGTGGACAGCACTGCTGCACACAATCCAAAAATAGTAATTGTCAAAACCATCACTTCAGCTACCCAAATGATATCCATGACACGTTTCGTCCCTAAGGCAAGTCTCTCCGAGCCCAATTTCACAGCAGACAATCATTTGGTATTTTTCATTGATGTTCTTTGCTCTTCTTCTCCCTTTACCGGCGCATGATGTCGGCTATGGTGAATCCTTGTCTAGCAGGAGCTGGTCTGGGAGGGGGTGGCGGTTGCGGGGTGGGTGCTCTGGGCGGACGCGAGACCTCTTCCTCGCGTTCTCTGTCGCGTTCCCTTTCTCTGGATTGCTCTATTTCCCGTTCCCTCTCCCTCTCGCGCTCCTGCAGCTCTAGAAGCACTCTGGACGGACCCGGTGACCCGATTCTTCGTCGGTACGAGGTCAAAATCAGCGGCGGCGGGGGCGGATGGGCCGGCGGCGGATTCTGGGCTACCGAGTGGCCGCCGATCCCACCACTCGTCACCGTGGACGGTTTCGTGGTGGGCAACAGGTCTCTTCTGATTTGAAGTTGAGGTCTCTGGGGGAGAGTGGACGAGGACGCTGGCGGGGGTGGTTGCGGCGGCCCCGAGGACCCCTGAGGAGGATAAGGAGTTGTCGAAGCTGCTGGCAAGGAAGTGTTCGCGGATCCTGACGTCGACGCCGACCCGGATCCAGACGCTGACGATCCTGTCTCTGGACAGTCTTCCTCAGGACTGTCGTCGTCCCTGAGGGCTTCCTCTAAGGCCTCCGGCGGCACGTCCCCTACAGCGTGGGTCAACGCGTGCCTCCTGAGGTCGCAGTTCCTGCGGAATACCTTGCCGCAGGAGGTGCACTCGTACGGCTTGTGGTCCGTGTGAGTGAGGAGGTGGGTTTTCAAGTTGCTGCGCTGGTTGAAACTACGAGCGCAGACTGGACACTTGTGCGGGGACTCCTCCATATGTAGGATCTTGTGCACCGCCAGGGTGCGGCTTTGGCAGAAGCCCTTGCCACACTCGCCGCATTTGAACGGCTTCTCTTTACTATGGATGTACCTAGAACATCGAAACAGTGGAATAATGAAGATGCACTGATTTTGCATTTTGCATCGAAAATAGTAGTTGATAAGTATATCTTTCATGTCATTATACATGGAGTGCCTCATTTAAGTTGAGATTGTAGAAAATTTCGTAGACACGTGATTTGAAAAAAGAAAACAAATCGACACATGTCCTTTAGTACTTCTAGTAGGGAGTCAAATGACATTATTAGTTTTTTAATGAGTGGGCGTTTCCGTAAACTTATATGTTTTAATTAATTTTAATTAAATTTGTTAGTGTGTATCGTCTGCGTTTGTTTGTGACCTGAGCGGGGTATGCGTGGCGAGGGAAACATTACAGTATAGAGAGCGAGTGTGTGAGCAGTAAATAAAACGGGAAATCGAGTGAGAGAGAGAGAGAGCGAGAGAGAAAAAGAGAGCTAGAGTAAAAAAAAGGAAAGAGTGCAAGAACATACGTCTTATAATTATTATTATGTTTAATCCAAAATATATTGATTTACATTTATGTATCATTTGATAAGTGGTTAAAAACATATAATCGATTCTTTCCCATGGATAACTCATTAATGGATTGCGTATTTCTATGCAAAATAAAAATAGTTTGCATGAATTGCAATATACAGTCACTACAGAGACATATATTTCTTTCTTTAATTGTTGTATATATATATATATTCAGTTGAAAATAAAGCAATATTATTTCTGAATTCTTCAAATGTTTTTAATCTTTTGTATTTGATCTACTCATTTTTGTCATGAATACAGAAAATCCGCAGTCTACTCATCAATCTAGCAGCTGATCTTAAAAATAGTTAACTAATTCATGATAATCGACGATCATCGAGCGCGGATCATTCCGCTTGCGGATGCAAATGGGTTAAGTAAGTGCTTGCATCCCCATCATTTTACCGCGTGACCAATACGCAGTGCATCTCTCGTATTAGCAGTGAATCGTTAGCCAGCCAGAGCAGAGCAATTTCTGTCCTCATCCTCGACTACTGAGTAAGCTGCAGTCCGAAAATGATGCGTAGGGGAGTAGAGGGGTAGGAGGGGAGAGACACCTTCGGCGGTCATAAAGCTTCTACATGTGGCAGTGCACCTCGAGATTTCGAGGTGACCTTCGTTTTTTTTTTTATATGGAATTGTATGTTTCTAATTAGATGCGCATATGGTCCATTCCATAACGATTTTATTAACCTAACATGTTGGTCTTTGAAGATGACTCAAGGTTATTCTTTGACATTCAAGACTTATCTTTGTTAGTCGTCCTTTAAGTCGTTTTATATCCTTCACATTCAAGAGAACACTCAATGATAATCGAATCTATTTCTGGAAGATAGATTTATCCTCTTAAAAGCTGTATATTCCATTCATTGACTGACATCTTTAGATATTCTTCAATTAGAAGAAGCCTTCATGTTATCTGGCATGATGCATCATCGTGATAATCTTCTTTCGCAAGGCCACGCAAGAAAAAAAAGTCTAAAGGCATTAAGTTTGGTAATCTTGGTGGAAAGAGAATGCTACTTTCACAATGAATGACCTTGAAGGATATTCGAAGATCGATATTAGATCAATGAATTCTCCATGGAACGAGTCAAATGCTCGTCTAAATAAAAAGATACAGTTTTATATAAACAGTATACTGCACAAGTACGATCAAACAACATAAGTTTCATTGGAAATAGTTTTTTAAATCAACTACAATTTGGAAAATAATCGTGTGTGAAACTTCAAATCGGACACCCAGTACGTAGGGATACAGATTTATACCAGACGAGAGAGAGAGAGAGAGAGAGAGAGAGAGAGAGAGANGAATGACCTTGAAGGATATTCGAAGATCGATATTAGATCAATGAATTCTCCATGGAACGAGTCAAATGCTCGTCTAAATAAAAAGATACAGTTTTATATAAACAGTATACTGCACAAGTACGATCAAACAACATAAGTTTCATTGGAAATAGTTTTTTAAATCAACTACAATTTGGAAAATAATCGTGTGTGAAACTTCAAATCGGACACCCAGTACGTAGGGATACAGATTTATACCAGACGAGAGAGAGAGAGAGAGAGAGAGAGAGAGAGAGAGAGAGATACATATTGTTTTCGCTAATATGAAGTATAATTAGCAGAAGCAGAAAAACAAAAATGTTATGTTTTCGCGAGAAATAAATATTTGTTGCAAGTTAAGTGAGTTAAAGCATCGCGTATTACAATTTACAGGGTGACCCCTTAATTCCGTCCATTTAGAGTATCGTTATCAAAAACATTATTTTTTTGTTTACAGATACAATGGTATGCATAATGACTTAAAAAAACTAAACTTAATAACTTAATAAACTTAACAAAATGACACAAATACGATGTTTTGTTAAGGTTTTTTTAAATATACAGGAATAAGGTAAAAGAGACCACCAATTATAAATACAAAGTAACTTTTACACTTGTACAGATATTTAAACAAAAATAAAGAAAAAGCTATATGTATTTGTATATTTCCTTGTTAGAAATAATGGAAAATAGAAATATACAACTATGATATTTCGTTAAGTCTTTGTTTAAATATCGGTAAAAGAGTAAAAGTTACTTTGAGCCTATAATTATTTACACCACTATAGAAACATAGGAAAGGTGTAAAATATTTTTAATAAAAATAATTAGATAGAATGATTAGAAGTAAAATATCGCAACGATGATAATTTTTAGGATAAAGGTACATACTTGGTACTATCAGTGCAGTACTATAGTATTTTAATTTTATGCTCAGAAGTTGCAGTTCAAAACAAGTTTTACGGTTTCACTTCTGATGATGTAACAACAATGAGTCAGAAATAAGTGAAGAGTGTAAAACATCTTGAAGTATGGATGCGATGCCTCATGTGGAAATCATAGGCGCATAGTGGGTGCATATTATGTGAAAAATAAGAATATTCATTTATTCCGTGTTTATCACAAAATTGTAACAAAAAATTATTTTTGTAAGGAACTGAATCAAATTAAATATTTCTAAAAAGAATCTTAAGAAGCGGAAGAATTTGCTTTATTTATGTATTTTTCATCACAAACTAATTACCTAGAAATTATTTTTGTTAGCAAGCTAAATTATCTTCATTCTTTATAAATCCCTATAATGACTTATTTTTATATTACGTGCTAAGTTCAACCGATCAAATACAAAATATTGGAAACCTTTGAAGGATTTAATGATGTGTGTGTTGTTGTATTACTTTCAATTCATTAAAATTATTAAGATAAGAAACGAATTTGTACGTAACTTTTGCATTTTGCAATTTTAATACAAACGATTTTTATTTTATATAAAAATTCGTAGTCTATTTATGACCAATGCTACAACATCCGTAAGTGTATTAACAATTATTTTAAAGGCAGTAATTTAAGTTTTGAAATCCAATCTGCATTTGTTTATTTAGAGAGGGTAGTGAAAGTGAAGCCCAAGTGGGGTGACCAATTGCAGTGCCTTTGGTTTGTTTCCGTTATATTTATTTATATAGATTTTATATAACTTTATCTTTATTGAATAAGACACATTAAATGCTTTTGTACAAAAATCAAATAAAGGAATAACAAAAATTAATATGTCTTATTCGATAAATATAAAGTTATATAAATATATATATAATATATAAATCGAATAAGATATATTAATTTTTGTTATTCCTTTATTTGATTTTGTATAGATATACAAAAATATATATAAAATATATAAAAAATAATAATAAATTTATCGAATAAGACATATTAATTTTTTAATTCTTTCATCTTGTTTATTCTTGTACAAAAATATTTAATATGTCTTATTCCATAAATATAAAGTTAATTATCCCCGAAAACAAACCACCCTCACAATAACCGGCTTCATTACCATACGTTACTTTTAGGTCACTGACTCGTTGTTGTAGTGCAAGGGGTTAAGGGGTCAACAAGCTGTTAAAAATCCGAATCGTGAGTCAGACTCGTCAAAGTACAATCAAGGGTCAAGTCGTCGCCTGTGGGTGAAGTGTCAATAAAGTATATTCCACGTACGAAGTTTCACACAAGAGACGTTTATGAATCCACAAAATCTAAAAACCATAAAACCTTGCGCATACATTGAGTAAGTTTTTACCGAAATACTGCCATATTTTTTGGCACCGAAAAGCGGTTTAATGAGGTGCAAACACCCCTTGAAAGAACGTCACTATTTTCTTTCTCAAGAAAGCAAACGATATAGAAATTGCGTTGTTTTATTATGTCTACAAAACTGTTTACACACAATTGTTTTAATATTAATTCTAAAATTAGATCTAAAATCACATTAAATTGAACAAAAATCTGTTTTTGACATTTTTGTAGACGCGCTGAAACGATGCAATTTCTGTTTCAATTTCTGTTAAATATCATTTGCTGTTCTCGGAATATTCCACAAAGAATCCCTTTAAATCACGTATCAACCCCAACAAAAGTTAGTCTTAGATTAATCATAACTAAACTGCAGATTTTTAAACCTTTTTAAGAAATTAAAAATACTGTTGCATTACTTTCGAGTCAATAAAATAATTAAAGAATGGGACAAAAGTTCATGCAGCTTCTGTATTTTGCAATCAACAGTTCACCAGCGTTGCCAGGTCGTTTTTGGCAACAAAATCTATCACATTCTTTTCTTTATAATGTCTGAGGTACACTAATTTAGCTTTAGCTAGCCACGACTCGCTCTATTTGTACACAGAATGTCATAATTTTTGTATTTACGGATTAACGGATCTCCTTCAAAAGTGGGGCGTGAGGTGGCAAGCGAAGTCCGAAACAAGAAAACGAGAAAGTACCTATGATCTCTGAGGTGATCCTGTCTCCTGAAAGCCTTGCCGCAGATGTCGCAGGAGTAAGGTCGTTCGTCGGTGTGCGTCCTCTCGTGTATAAGGAGATTGTAGCTCTTGGTGAACTGTCTGTTGCAGAATTTGCAGATGAACTGTTTCTTGGGCCTGGACGCTCTGCCGGGCGCTCGGAGCAGCCTTCTGTCTAGATGCTGATGGGCGAGGGGCCCACCGGGTGGGTAGAGCGCCGAGCCAGCAGGGAAGGGCCCTGCGAACACCGGGTACCCGGGCGGCGGTTCCAGAAGGGGTGGCGGTGGGAGGAGGAGCGGTCTGGCAGCCAGCTCCTTCCTTTTATCTACCATCATAGCCATGATCTCGTAGCTGGACGAGGACTTTCTGGCGACAGAGGGCTCTGCGCCGACCTCGTGCTCCGAGCTGCTCGTCGCGGACGACGACGGTGGCGGCCCGGTCAAGTGAGGGTGCATGTCGCCCGGGTAGGGTGCCAAGTGCAGCCGCGAAGGCACCACCGGCACGAACGCCGACGATTCCCGGTGATGAGGGTGACCCAGACCCGCCACCAGGCCATGCCGATGGTGGTGATAAGCAGCCAGGGCGCTAGCCGGGTCGAATCCTCTGGAGGTCGACTGCGCCGCGGACCCCGAAGAGGATCCACCTGCCGAAGAGGAGCCTGACCTTGACGAGGATCCAAGGCTCGGGTCCCGACCTCTGCTCGTCTCCTCCGAGACGGTCACCGAGACCGAGGCCGACGACGCCACGATGTCCGTCGGCATACCAATCACACCTACAATGCAAGTCAAGCACCGTGGTAAACGATTTGTTTTATTGTTTTTTCTTAACCATCTAGCTGATTTCGACGAGTATACTCGTCATGAAGATACAGCGACGTTTTGAGTACACCCGTCAAAATCAGCTAACTGATTAAGTTATGGAAATAAATAAATGTTAGTAATGAAATTAAAATATAAAACTGTCGTTTAAAACGGTATATGTATACCTAAAAATTAAAAAAGAAAAACAAGAGTAAGAAGAAAACCGATTTGGAGAGTCGCTCATGACCTGAGATGTTAATGCGACTTTAAACTAAGAAAAAAAAACTTTCATTTCGTTGCAACTTAATTCTATATTACAATAGACACGCACGCACGCGCAAGCACGCATGCATACACACACGCATACACATTTAAAAATTCAAGCGTCTCTTCAACCATTTACTAGATAGAGAAATAAATAAATGTCAGATTCACTTATATTAAGGGGACTTTCTTATACGTATTTTGGAGAATCGACGAAAAATTTGTTTTTCAAGAAGGCTGCAATATACAATGGCGAGAATATAAATAGGAAAATATATGCAGAGGGTTCAGTATTTTTTGTAGATACTAGTAAAAATAAGACTAAGATGTTATGTAACAAAATGTCCATAAATGGTTAGTTAGTTATGACAAGTTATGACAAAAAGAAGAAATGTGAAAGATAAAACTACCGTGCAAAAGACATGAATTAATTATAAAAATTACCTGCAAAGAGATTAGACAAAGTCGTAACCAACTGTGTAATCAACAATAAATTCAATAAATTGTCGATGTCAAATTTTTGTCAACAAAGATTATGTCAAGGTTATTTTGAAATTGAGATGTACGTGTATTTAACAGCATTTAAATGATATCTTGTGTACTTTTGTATTTTTATATTTTTGTGTTTTTGTATTTTTGTCACCCTGTATATGCAGGGTGTCCATAAAGGTAGGGATCAAACTTATACTATGTGTTGCTGAGGACAAGTAGATGAAAAATGTTCATATAAACAAACTTGTATCTGAAAATGCTTCTTTGAAAAGATATAAGCGTTCAAAATTTATATAAATCTTGGTTTATATAAATACAATAAAAACACAAGATTAATTCTAGGAATGTACTTAAAATGCATTTAATATTATTTCTAATACAGATGGAACGTTTGAAAAAGTTCGTCAATCACTAATTCGACGAATAAAAGCCTGCATTCTTGCAGTGAGAGAAATTTTCGAACATGTTTTATAAATGTTACAATAAATCATAAATATATGTTTCCAATAAAGCATTTTTGAACATAAGTTTATATGAACTTCTTCATCCACTTGACCTCAGTAACATGTATTCCCAACCTTTTTAGACACCCTATATATGTACAGCCAGTCTAATAAGTTTCCGTACACCTTTTAAAACGGAATAACTTTTTCATAATTGGGTCAAGCGATCGCAATTTTTTTTAGATTTTGAAGGGATCAATTTACTAGGCAATAGCTAAAAAAATGTTTTCAAAAAGTGCAATAGGTTAGGAAGATAATAAAATTAAGAAAAAAAAATGTTTTTCAACTATTTTGTCTTAGCCCACACAGAAAATTTATAGAATGCATTTTGTAGGTCGCAGTAACTTATATGTATGTACATTGACAATTTCATTGAAATCGGTTGACATTATTATGAGCTGTTAACATTTAAAGTTCATGAAAATGGCAGTGTTTCACGAATTCGAACCGAAAACAGGTAAATTTTACATCTTTCAGTGACATGCATCGGAATCTGCAAAATGCATTTTGTTCTTAATTTTCCTTATAGATTTAAATAAAAAAGTTGGAGAAACATAAATTGTTAATTTCTGTATCATTCCAATCAATTGATATCTAAAAAACTTTTTGTTTACCCATCCTCTAACAAACTAATTGGCCAAAAATCTCAAAAAAATTAAAGTCATATGGTACAATTTGAAAAACGTTATTACATATATATATATATATATATATATATATATATATATATATTCCTTATTTATATGCTTGCCACTGCCATTTATATGCTGTGCCTGTCACTGTGCAACTTGTGTTGTTTTAGAGCTTGCAGCATAAGTGTTGTAAATGTTTTAGAACACAAAACCAAATGTCTTTTTAAACTACATTAACCTAGAACGACGGACCTTTCTGATAAAATACAACTGGGCATACTTATGATCATTTATCTCTTTATTTATAATTTTTTTTCAACACAATTTTTATGATATTCCATCTATTGGGTTGGCAACTAAGTAATTGCCGATTTGTTCAATGAAATAAAAATTTTTTTTTTACTTGGAATGAAGTTTAATCTGTAATGTATTTTCCATTTTGTTCGATGACCTTTTGCCATCTCTCTGACAACTTGAAAATTCCATGCTCGTAGAAAGTCTGATCCTTTTCGGCCAAAAACTGAGTTAAGTGAGATTTTACAGCGTCATCATCATTAAAAGTTTTACCACGAAGGGAGTTGTCCAGGGATCGAAATAAGTGGTAATCCGCTGGCGCGAGATCAGGGTTATATAGTGGGTGTAACATCAATTCCCAACCAATATCCATCAATTTTTGCCGAGTGGACAAAGACGTGTGCGGCCTAGCATTGT